CCTCACAACCTTTTTGGCACCTTGGGTATGTTCTTTTTTTTTTTTTTTTTTTTTTTTTTTTTTTTTTTTTTTGTCTTCTTTTGTGACCAGCAACGGGATCGCAACCCTCGGTGTTGCGCCCGTGCCACGCTCAACCAGTGAGCAGACCGGTCTCTATATGGGATCCGAACCCTCAGCGGGAGCGCCGCCACACTCCCAAGCGCCGCACTCTACCGAGTGCGCCACCGGGCCTGCCCTTGGGGTATGTTCTTCTAATGTGCCTCACGATTATCAGATGGTCCAGTGTCTTCCTCTTGCTCTCTCTGGTCTCAGTCTGTGTTCTGTTGCTCAGATCAGGTCCTTACGCAGACGACAGAAGCTCGCTCTTTAGCAGGTGCAGACGGCTCTCCTCCTCAAGGTTGCTGATGCAGGAGAAATTCAGGGAGTTGGTGGCATGAGCGGTGAGAGAAGGATCTCCCAGGGGGCATAGCTGCATTTTGGACAGAAATGGCCTGCTCTGGGCAGTGTGGCTGTTCCAGGATTGTGCACAGGGACTGTCCAGGTCACACACAGGACTATTATTAGAATCACACACCTTGTGCTGCTCAGAGAGTTGGCAACGCTTTCTAGAGCGTCCCAAAGCAGTTTGGCAAGTGGCTTGGGGTGAAAGCCAGGGTAACGGGTTCTATCTTGGGTTAGGAAGGGGTGTGCTAAAGGGCAGGTGCTTCTCCTGGTGAGGGAGCCAGTGAGTCAGAGGGTCCGGCTGCCACTGAGATCCAGGGCAACTGGCACAGCAAGTTCAGCATCTTCCCAAATTCTCAGTATAGGCCATCCCTGCATCCTTCTTGAGCCTCAGCACGATGCTGGCACTTTCCCAGTTCATGAAGTGCATGCCTATGATTGTTTCCCAGGATTTGCTGGGTGACTTATCCAGTCATTCACCCATCCGCCCATTCATTCATCTGTTCACTCAGCCAGTATTTGAGGACCTAGCCTGTGCCACACTGAGGTCCCGGATGTTAATCAGACAAGCAGCTAAGTGTAAAACTCCAGCTGGGGTCTGGGTGGAGAAGCAGACACGGTGCCCCAAGAGGTGGGTGGGCAGTGGCCTGGCTCAGGAGATCCTGAGGAAGTGCTGTGTGAACCGAGATCTGAAGGAGAATGGGAGAGAGTGGGCCTTCCACATCTGTCTCCACCTGTGGAGGAGGCAGCACCTCACTGGGGCACCTGGATCAGGTGGGAGAAGGGGCCATGTGGGTGCTGGGCTGTCATCGTCCTTGCCTGGGAGAAGCTGTCAGAGGAAGCAGACAGGACACCATGTGCCCCGTGTTGTTCCAAGGCTGATGGCTTGGTTTCCCCAGGTATCTTTCCAAGCCCCAAAGCCTGGGCCAAAATGCCACTTGTCCCTTTTTAGCTGGCCAAGTGGTAGCTCGTGTGGTGAGGAAGTGTCCCCTGGTGGACAGGGCCATTCTCCCACCTTCTCCGGACTAACCAGAGCGTGTGGTCCCAGATGCTGCAGAAGCTTCGGGAGGATGAGCCACAGGCAGAGAAGCCCCTGGCAGAGCTGGACAACCTGGGGCACACAGACTGGGTGAGACTCGGCTCCCTGCTGACCTGGGGTACAGAGAGTACAGCCGCCAAGGGCTGTGGCTGGAGGGCATGGGACCACACCTGGGCTAAGAGCCAGTTTTGTCTCCTGGGTCCCCAGGCCCGACTGTGGGTCCAGCTCATGCGGGAGCTGCGCCATGGTGTGAAGCTGAAGAAGGTGCAGGAGCAGGAGTTCAACCCCCTTCCCACTGAGTTCCAGCTCACGCCCTTCGAGATGCTGATGCAGGACATCCGCGCCAGGAACTATAAGCTGCGCAAGGTCATGGTGAGCCGGGGCTGGACCAGGAGGGGGGACCTGGCTTCCGAACCTCCTCCCACAAGCAGCTGTGGGGCTCCTGTTCTTTGTGCTGGGCACAGAGGAGGAATAAGGCAGACACGGCCCATGATCCACACGGCTCGAGGCTGTACTGGGGACACAGCGTGACAAGGGCAGGGAAAGGGGTGTAGAAGGTTCTGGAGGACCAGGGATGGCCCCTGGGAAGGAGGGGCCACAGAGCTGAGGCTGCAGGAGTTTCATCTAACACTTAGGTAGCCCTTGCCGTGTGCTGGCTTTTTTTTTTTTTTTTTTTTTTTTTTTTTTTTTTTTTTTTTTTT